AACTTTTTGAAAGAAAGGAATATAGGTTTTCATCTAGATCATTATAATATATGATAAATTAGAATACATACTAGTATTAAACAAAAAAGACAATTCAGGGTGAATGCACATCTTTCTAATCAATGAATGAATAAATATAATAATTGTTTGTTGGACCCCCCCCCCCAAAAAAAAAAAAAAAATTAAAACATTTTGTTGTTGTTTCTAGATAGAATACAAGAAATGCACAAGTTGTTTTTAGAAGAAACACAAGTTGAATTCTCAAAGGTATTGAGATTGACAGTTCTTGTGGTGTATAATTTGGCAGGATACTAGATCACATAATTTATCACATAGAGAAATGTTGGCATCAAGAGAGTAGTTTAGGTTTATTAAGTGTCCCATTAAAGGGACATGGTCCACCAGCATCCCTTTTTAGCTTTCGCTCATATTTGAAAAAATAAAATTATTTCTGTTTTCTTTCAAGGAAGAAGAACAGCTTTTAGAGTTCCATCTTGGTAATCTKGAGTATTCTTGTGCTTCTCATCTCAGCAAAGTGTCTACTTTCCACTGGGATCAAAATGAGGCTTACCCCCAGTTTGTAGGTGACCACACCCTATTGGAGCATGGTTTTCAGGCGCTGCTGGAGGGACTGGCTAAGAACCTGGATATCAAGTTAAATACGCAGGTAAGAACCATCTTTATCGTAAATTATCTATGAAATACCTATATTTCTCCATTTCTAAAGTGAAAATAAAACATTCGAAAAGGTATTTTACGACATTATGCACTAGTTAATTGAAACCCCCGACCCCCGGGGCAAGCGGGGCACTGAACGGGGACGTGACGCGTTTTTAACGTGCCTTCAACAGCAAGATTGTTCCGGGGGTCGGGATTTTGATGAATTGTTTTCGAAGCGGGGCATGAGAGCGGGGATTTTAACGTGCGGTTGAACATACATAAGGCTGGAAACTAGAGGTCGGTCATCTTGAGAAATACCCGGAAGGCATTGGTATTCAACCCGCGTTTTTATTTGTTCATTTTTCCTTGCATGAAAATTTTTTAAAAGAAACTTATTACACATGGTTTTCTCCGTCCAGTTAGCGTTAGCCTCACGTAGTACGCAAATGAGTACAAGATTACACAAAAATTAAACCTGTGTATCACAGAATATTTTATTGAAAGGCAGGGTTCGTGCTACTCCTTGAAGTCCTTCAAAAGTCCTGAAATTGAAAACTCGTTTTTAAGGGCGCTTGAAAGCCCTTGAAAATGGGGAAAATTGCTAAAACTCCTGGAAAACTCCTTGAATCTGATGAAATTGACATGCTGCTTGTTGGCTTTTGGATTGAAATGTGGCTATTTTTGAAAATCGTCAGTTGAAACGTCGGCAATATAAAAAAAGTATTAAAAAATACTCCTTGAAAATCGCATTTTTGTGCTTAAAAAGTACTAAAAGTCGTGGAATTTTGTAGTGAAAATGTAGCACGAACCCTGGAAAGGTGTTTGTTTTGTTATTTACTACTAGATCAAAATAACGTGGCAACAGTAGCGGGGATTTTAACAATGAAAATGCCCTCGACTACAGTGGGAAATGTCTTATTTTAACACCACTCAAACGTTAAATTCCCCGGTATTCCACGGGGGGCGGGGGTTTCAATTGACTAGTGTATAACACTTCGTGTTTTTATTTCTTTGATGTTTCAATCTATTCACAGCAATGCAATTCAAAACTCGTACTCAATTTCGTACTCGTTGTCAAATCTGAAGTTCCCTAATGAACGTGCCTCAACTACCGGAGGAAATGTATTATTTTAACACCACTCAAACGTTAAATTCCCCGGTATTCCCCGGGGGTCGGAGGTCGGGGGTTTCAATTGACTAGTGCAAACAGGAGACCTTCAGACCGGTGACACTTAAATCCCATAATCTTAAAATAAAATTCACCGACTATCAACTGATATTTTTTTAATCGTAACCCCAAAATTCAAACAATAAAAGAAAATGCATTATTACGAAGGAAGTACGAGGAGGCTNTTCGATTGCTACCATAGACAAGATTCTATTGGAACAAACAGCAGCAAATGTAGACGAGAAAGACGATGTCAATTCCAGCATCCGGCAAATTTCTCAATTGAAACATCAGTGTGAAACAATGACCGATGAATTGAACTTGGAACACTTTATATTGGAAGGCTATGAAAATTTACAAGAAATTTGTGAAACTACAGTAAAAAACAAATCCATCTTATCAACCAAACCAGTCAAGCGCAACACAAGCCTGCATTACATTCCCAACCCGGAAATCAATACTGCAGTGCAAAAACGCAACCTCGGTGAGGTGGTGGCAAACGTGACAGACCCGTCACGTTGTTCTATCGAGTCTGTAAGTAACGCCAGATTTGGTTTTATCAACGAGTTTCAAATCGTGACAAGAAATTCAGAAGGGAATGTCTGCTATACCAATAAAGGCTCAATTGATGTACAAATCCAAGATGTTGACGGCGACGATGTACAGAAAGAACTGACCGAGACTGAAACTGGCAGATTCWYAGTRAAATATAGAGCAGAGAAACCTTCACCGTACAAAGTTGTAGTGAGTATTGGAGGAGAAGAGATCAAAAACTCACCACAGAACATTGAGGCAATTGATGCTAGAGCAGAGTTGAAACCCTTGAGATTAATGGATTCGAAGGAGATGTCCGCACCAATTGCACTTTCTGTAAGTGATACTGGAGACATAGCTGTGGTCAATAATAAYGGTAAATGGGATTTCAGCGTAAAGTTGTTCAGTGCTGATGGAGATTATGTTCGAGAGATTGGTGGTGCAGAATCTGGAGACGGTCAACTGAGTTATCCACATGGAGTGATCTTCAATGAAGGCCAAATACTTGTCWGCGACAWTGRTCMAGRTAATAAGMCCTGTGGCTGTATAAAGGAATTTGATATCAATGGTACTTACAACAGAACTCTTTGTAAACAACCTRAAMRTATTRGGATCACAGGAATGTGCAAAGTGAATCMAAACATCGCGTATTTGAGCTATAATGTGGATACTAAAGACACATTTATAAAGTTGTTTGCTMAACACAATGGTGATCACCTTCCTGACATCAAACTAGATGYWCCTGATGATKGTCATGGGMACCCTRTGTATTTAGCCTATGATAACAATAAGTACTTTGTAACGTTTTTYAAWACAAACASTGTTTATGTTTTTAACGAGGATGGTCGTCTGTTGTACMAGTTTGGAGRGAARGGCAACAAAGATGGYCAGTTTGRTGKCGTASRTGGACTTGCMGTGTTTGGTAAAGAAATGCTTCTTGTCTGTGATYKTAATARCCACCGCGTGCAAGTCTTCAGTCAAGACGGTCAGTTCATAAGGTCCTTTGGTAGGCGTGGTTCAGGTCTTGGTCAAATGGATGGTCCTGTTGATGTTGCTGTAACACCAGATGGTCGAGTATTGGTACTTGAG